GACTGTGATCCACAACAAGTTGGCTACAGAACAGTTGGAAATCGAACCCCACAATGCCACTTTCACATGAAGAACTGATTTTGATTTTGCAACAGCAGTTGGAAACATTTGGAGGGTCTAATTTGAGGTTTGTCGAAGCACTCCTTCACAAATTTTATATTCGAAGCCCAGCCTCAAACGAAACGAAACCCTCTGTTGATGCTGTTGTGAACAGTATAGCTGAGTTTCGCTACGATGCAGAATACAGTTCCACCTTCGAATCATAGTTCTCAAGATATGGATTTTGCGGATTAGTATGATGGTTGGAAAGCTCGGGACAAGCGAACTTAACAAATGTAATAATTTTATTCTCCCCAAGTCCCCGAAAGAATTTTCTTTTGATGAACTTGTACAACTTTTGAATAATATTTTTTTGCAAATCATCTTCTTTATTGAACAGTGATGACCATCTTACGTATGCAAGCGTAGGGAACCGTCACTGTGAAAGATTCAAACTCAGGGAAGTGACTGAGGATCAATTTAAATGTCTCATCTTCATCTGTGAACTACAGCCACCACGAGGCGCCGATACCCAAACTCGATTGCTAAGCAAGCTTGAACAGGATCCATCAATTAACCTCCAAACGCTTACCACAGGGTGCCAACGTTTGCATGATCTGAAGCGCGATACAGCCATGATAGAATGCAATATTCTCAGTCCGGCCACGTGCATACCGTTTCGAACGTCATTCGAAGGCCAGGTGCGAAGAAGTAATCGGTGGAATTAAGCAAGCCACCTACGCCCTGCAACAGTGGAATGAACGGCACTTCGCCCGTTTGTGCTTTCTCAAGAGGCTTCAGTGCGAAGTGCCACAGGACGGAGAGCAGACAAGAATGCAGCTGACACTCCTTTGGTGCTTCGGACTCAAACCCGGCACACAGCTGTTAAAGCTGATAACCTATCTGGGAACACACCTCTCGGCTCTGCACCTCCGGAGGCAACAGAGACAGTGTTGAAACGATTGTCCACAAACTGCCTCAGTGTTTTCAACAAACATTATTAAGCTGCCAGCTTGCCACAACCGCACTCTCGGAGACCTGGCTCACACCAGATGCATTTGATGCGCACATCTCAATAGATATATACTCCGTTTTTTGAGCTGACTCGAAACGAAGGGGGCCTGATCGGGTTGCATTATAATTACATTCTCCCCCGCCCATCCCGAATGTCTTTTCTGATACCAGCCCTGCACCTTTTTTGATGCGCTGTGGATTCAAATCCCGCTGCGTGTCTGATTCTCTTCTTCCCGTTGTGATCTACCATTGCTCCTCAAGCTCTCTGAAGGGTGGCCTATTCCTTATACAAACCTCTGAGCAGTTCTCTTGTACGTACTACTTCACACATCTCTTGCTGGTAGGTGATTTCGACGCTCCAAAGGCCTCTTGGATGGAGCTCCAACACGTTGGGTCTACTGGGCATTTTGCAGTGGTGCTCACCGGATTCATTTAACAAAGCGCCTGGACTCAGTATGTTGTGGCATCCACCAGATACCGCGAAAGCCGACTACCATCTCTTCAGGAGTTGGTCATCACTAAAAAAAGATAATTCCTCGATCGGGTGTTAATTAACGCCTCACTTGGATATAGTGGCCAAAAATCGCGCACCTCACACGTGGATTCAGGACTTCCACCCTGTAGACTTCTCAGGACTTGCACCCCGTCTGGTCAATTAAAACTGGGGCCACCATCAGTGGAAGAGTTGTACAGTAACATTATCCAAAAAGTTCACGAGGCTGACGCAATGTTCACCCCGGAAAGACCAGCACGCAGTCGGTTGAACTGAAGGCTACCTAGAAGGAGTCGGTGCGTTCTGGAAAAGAAATTTCAACCGCTTTTCAAAAAGTTGACCACAGTAAAATGCGGGACCGCTGTAAATCGTGTAAGACCCGAGCGACAATGGAACTCACAGGACTATTGCGGCTAGCAGGTTAGGCGAACTGACAGGAACTGGTTTTACAGGCAAACGGATTATTAATCATCATGACTTAAGCAAACGTACAACCAATAATGACGCAATCGGCAGGGGCGGGAGATAGTCACTGAAGCGGCAGGGATTTCTAGAAGCAACAACAAGTAAGCACAAAATTATGTATGGAGAATCCGACAGTGCGAGTCGGCCGTATAGAGAGATAACGGCACAGAAATCAGTACGTTTGGGATGTGAGGGACTGTCTCCCGGTCGGCGGTGCGACGCGACAGCTAGTCTCACGTGATAAGTCAGATTGCGCAGTTTCGTCCGTTTAAAAGAAATTTCGCCAAAGGCTATCCGACAGGTGCGGTACATGGGTAATACAAAATAATAAGCTTTTTCGGGCGTCGGTATGTTTAGTGGATGGCCTGTTCGCCCACCGTCCTGGGACTCTGGGTTCGATACCCGGTCGACCCCCTTGTCCGTCGGAGCGGACGCTCGAAAATAGGTGCAATCGAGACGAACTTGGAAGCAATGACGGATGGACAACAAAATGTTAGCATCAGTAACTGCAGAATGAGCAGACCTTAAGGGGAACGAACCAGGGGGAAAACGAGCAGCGAGGAAACAAAACGGCGTCATAATAGACTGGCGTAAGTCACGTTACCTATGAGTAGTCAGATAACTAGGAAAATTACCGCTGTTCACCACTGATTCGCAGGGGGTATCAACAAATCGGAAATCCGTTAACGGAACATACAATAATAAACCACCATACTAGACCTAACTAGGAGAGGCACAGCCACAGAAATTGGCCAGCCGTGTTCTTCTCAAGGGGCGGGAATGGGGAGCCGCCGAGTAAGCCAATATTGGTGTCTGAAGTCTAAAGAGAACGCTGTGCAGGTCTGTATTTTTCCCCGGTGTCCTCTTCACACTCAGTCTTGTCAAGGCGTAATTAGGAGCGGCAGGTCACCAACCTAGTTGAAATTCAACTCTTTTACAAGACAAACCCGTTCTATGCGGTAGGGGAAGACGAGGTTATTCAAAAGATCCTGAAGAAAAGTCGTTCACACCAGTATAGCATTTCTATCCAATGTTTCGTCAGTTACTCGACGAAGATAATCTTCTCGCTGCTTGGAAGGGAGTGATTATCACGCCAATTTACAAAACCGGCGCCCAACAGCCGCCCGGTAGCTACAGGCCTGTCAGCCAAACTACCTTACCGTGCAAGGTGTTTGGAACGCATTCTGAAGCGGGCCATCTTGAATAATCTTACTACCAGCAATTTAATATCCCCAGGTCAACATGGATTCCTCCCAAAACGTTCCAGCTTGACGAATATGCTCGTACTTATGGACAGCTTAGCGCATATCGGATGCGATACTTTTTGATCTCTGAAGACCATTTGATCGAGTCCCCCACGTCCTGCTTCTTCACAGACTAGTCCCGCGGAAGTTAAGGGAAAGTTCTGAACTGTATTAAGGCGTTCCCATCGGACACAAAGCTCCGAGTGAAAGTAAGCTCGACCTATTTGTAATGCATTACTCATAAGTTTGCTGAAACTTCGTCAGTATCGGGATATCTGGAATATTGTAGCGACTGAAACATGAGGGGGCCTGGTGCGGCACATTCAGTCGCCTGGAAACATCATGAACGAGAGATTTAGCTGGGTTCCAGGTGAGTCTCTTGAAGGACCAAATTAATTTGCAAATGAGTGCTTTATGCTCGACCTACTTTTCTCCGGCACTGGTCTCCGGTTGAGTTCTCCAAGGCTCAATCTTTGGGACCACTGCTGTTTCTGATCTACGTCAACGACCTTTCGGACATTCTTTTAAGCCAATATCAACTTTTTGCTGCCACCCACCAAGTGGACGTAGACGCAGTAAGGCGGTGGTCATGGGACTGGCACCTTACTCAGCGTGTGGGAAAGTTCGTCCACATGTCATTCGACGGGGACTCAGAGAAAGCTTCTGTCGTGTATGATATTGCTCTCATGGACTTACGAATAGTCTATTGGGCCCACGCCAGAAAGCTTTTGTAATATACCAACCAAGTTGTCTACTCAGCATGCGAGAAGTACGTGACCCTCATTGAGCGTTTCCAATGATCTGCTAGAAAATAAAGGTTGCTAGGCCTTAAATCCGCGGACTGTGAAATGCGTCATGAAGTGCTTGCCTCGTCCGTCTCGAGTAACGTCGTCTCCAGAGAGACCTAGTATTCCCTTATGCTCCGTTCGAACAAGGTTTGTTCGACAGTTTTTCACTGTTGATCCAGCTAACACGGTGTGGATATGGTATGATGATTTTAACGCTCAGAGCCGCGTGGGATAACCTTCTTCCGGCGATTGCCCAATCCACATCTAGCAACCAGTTCAAAGCAATATTAGACAATTTTTCACGCGAACCTTCGCCCTGCTAAACTTACTGCCAAGAAGTGCTTCGCTCGTTTTTGCCTGTGCGTTTCAGTTGGACAGCAGCCACTGGACACCAGGAGCAAAACAAACCAGGGAAACTCAAGCGAAAGCCTCGATTCTATGTATCTTCTGGTATACCTTCGCCTCCGACGGGACCTTGTTCTTACTTACGTCCTGTGCGAACAGGGCTTGGCCAACAGGATTTTCACCGTCGACCTAACAATCACGTCGGGGATATTGCTATGAGATCTTAAAACTCAGAGCGCACAATTTCACTGGGCAAAAATTTCTCATACCGGATAGTAGCTGCGTGGAATAATCTTCCACCAGCGGTTGTCCACGCTCCTTCTAGAACCCAATTCAAAGCATTATTAGACACCTATTTAAGAGAGTCCTGGCGCTGGCAAGCATGCTGTCCCGCGCTTAGAATCTAAGGGGTAGTGCTACACACTTTTTCACTTATGACATTCCGGCGAATGACAGCCGCTGAACGACAACAGCAAAATCGACCCAGAAATTGGACGAAATCCCTCATCCTGTGTCTCAATCCGGGAATCCGTGAGCTCGTGAAAGTAGCCAACTTTGAACTGAGTGTTGTTTTAACCAGCTAAATTTCTTCAGACATTTTCTGTAAAAGGCGTGGGTTGCATGTTGTCCGCGGTCGCTCCCCACGTGCTCCTGGTAGTCGGACGAGAAAGTTGTTCTGCACTTTTGTTGCTACTGGTGCGCTAGGATAGCGTTTCTAGTCGCATGCGCATTCTAAACCAGGTGGTTATTTGCTCTGTAGTCGCTGGTACACTCGTTTACGTACTCTACCGGAGGAGGCGAAGGCGGAACTACGGGCCCTCTGTCGAAGAATCAGAGGTCAGTTACCGGACATAGTTTTCATTTGCATACAGTTAGAGGAAAAGTACGACTCGTCAGCATCGTACGATTTATTGTTTTATCTGCCGGGGGTAGGTTTGTGTTTGTATCGCTTAATGTTTTCTGCAGGCTGAAGATCCCCCTGAATTTACAGAGTGTATCGAGTTTACCAAGCCACTGATATCGACAATAGCAAAAGTATTGTCCGTCGGTTGTTTGACATCTTCAGGTTACCCTCTGTGCAAACGTTTGCTTGGTGAATTCCACGGATTCACTCGCGCCCCCCGATCTGGATTCCAGCACAGTAGAACCGGTCCCCAACACAGGCACTGAAATGAGTCTCCTCGAACTCGAGACCGCCATTGAGGCATCGGTCGCCACTTTCGACCGCAGCTCCCTCAGTTCTGGGTCAGGTTCGGAACATGCCCTTACTCCAGAGTCGAGTGTTTCTGTGAGTAGCCCGGAAATCCCTAGCCGAATCAAGTTACCACCTGGTTGTTTCAACGACCCTATGAATGATATATATGAGGGGAACCCAGAGGAGCTAAATGGTACAATCATTCCAAAGGTATTGATCCCGAGTGATATGTGGGCAGAGGCTGTGGACCAGGATATCTGGCATGAAACCTTCTGTGTGCCGGCGCACATGGGGGGTGTTTTAATTGGTCGACTTGGAAAGTAAGTCGTCCCTTCGTTTGTTATGTTTTGCTTCAGAAATGTGAGGGAGCTAAAGAACATCTGGCAAGCAGAGTTTTCCCTGAATACCTGTCCTGGACGTCAGGACACACTAATTTTCAGACTATCCTGTCCTGTGAAACATAAAGATGACGTGTTGAGATGGGTAGCCCGACGTTTTCGGATGCGGCCTTCGAAGACGCCTATCGGAAACCCGAATCAGCTAAAAGTATGTCAGTTTCTTACTCTAAGTGTTACTGCTAGTCGGGAGACGCTCACACAAACGTTTGATCTTCTTTTCAGCGCTATCTACCTCTTGGTGAACCGGTACCAGTGCATGTCCGAAGCCTCTACGCATCCAAGGAATTTTTCGTTACCATTCAGGATGATGAATATTCCCGGTATCTGAAGCTTCAGGCGGAATTGGATAGTGACTACAACACCGTTAACAATTTTCGAGTGCAGCTGTGCGAACCGGTCACTTCCGGCACGGTCGCAGTCGTTCCACATAGTCAGGGTTTCGCAAGAGCTTTGATCATCAGTGTGCATTCAACTTGGCCGAAAACCGTCTTTTACTTCCTACTGGATCATGGAACATTCGGAGTTGTAGCACTGAACAAACTGCGTAAAATCAGGTGAGCGTTTTCACGTTTGAATTCTGGTTCCTTCATGGACGCAGTCTACGCTGATCGTCCCGATAAGTAAACTAATTACCGACGGTAGCACGTACAGTAGAGAGCAGTTTGGTCATGGGAGCATTGACTGATGAGCTTCATCAAATTCAGAAAAGTGCCTTAAGAACTTGAACGGGTGGTTCCAGCTGAATATGTTGGTGTAGTGCGTAACGTCTTATATCGGGAGCCTTTTAGTTGACCCTCTTGGGCGCGAGATTGCTCAAGTGGTTAGAGCGTGAATTTGCTGTCCGGAAGGTCCGTAGTTCGAACCACTTCCCCTGCTAGGCTTGGGCAAACCGGCAGTATCTCAGCCCTCGTGCTTCCGTCGGGTGGCAGAGCAGCCATGCAAGGAAAGGGTGTTACAGCTGAGCGGTTTTTTGGTTCGCCCATTTGTTGACCGTTACCGTCGGCGCACTATTCACTGCGGTCGGATTACTTCAAAACTAGGTGCTCGGAAGGTATCTGCTGGGCATTTCTGCACTGCTAGTCACAAAGCTTTCTAACTTCCCGCACCCTTTGACTGGGCATGCCCCACATCCAGGTGGATCGGGCTGCCGAGACACTGTTTTCCCAACCGGGTCCCCGTGGAAACCCTGGAACCTGTTGTCTCTATTCCGTCCTGACATGGAGCGAGATGGCTGTGGCTAGAGCGCGAATTAACTGACCAGAAGGTCGTTGGTTCGAATCCGACCGCTGCATCTCGACTTCCTCTGTAGGTTTGGACAACCTCGCAGTACCCCAGTCCTCGGGTGGCATCAGGTACTGACAGGGTGTTCTAGCTGAACGAACAATTTACTTTTGATCTGGGAGAAGGAAATGGTGTATGATGTGAAAAGTTTGGAGCTGTTGTCTGAGTCTCGAGGGCTTGTTGATCGCTGTACATGCCGCCGACCAACTCGCGGTTCTCCTCGATTTTAAAGTTGCTTCTAAGTGTGTGGGTTAGCTGGCTCTCGTAAGTGTACTTGACCAGAAGAGCAGTACCTTAGTTTTTTTGAAACGTTTTCCGTACCCTTACACCCCTATGTCCGATCGTACCAAGGTCTACAGTGAGCCGTCGGAAAGCAACAGAGTTCTTTTTGGGGTGCACCCTCCAGAGAGCCGTTATCATGGGTTTCGAACTCGCCTCTGAAGACATCAATGAGTGCCTTCGTTTTGTCGATTGACCATCACTGATCCACGGAATGTCATATGGTCCAATGTTTCAAGATGCGTCTACAAACTTCAGTACGTCCCATCCTGGTGTTTCTCTGAGATTTCTGAGTTTCTAGGTCGGTTTACGGAGAGACTGGATCTTACCGTGGTATGGCGGTTTGTGTACCTCGGCGACCCATTGAGCTATACTGTGGGGTGTCCGCGTGACACTGACAGTTTTATACCAGGTTGGTCAGTGGATAGAGGTCTGGGGAACATAGTCTCCTGGCCCTCCAGGTTGGGGGTTGAAACATGTGGCGGCTTGTTCCGTAGAGGTGGTAATGCATTTGTATTCTCCGCTAAACACCGCTGCCTTGTGGTTCGATTTTTCAGCCAAATGCTATGGTTGAGGACCCTAATCGTCCTTCTGTCTAGGTGTTGGCGCCCTGGCAGTATCCCAGCCCTAACACCAACAACTAACAATACTCTCATGTCACACCGGCTGTCTCGTGGTGCCATTGGCCGGGTCGCCTTACTTGCTACATACAGCAGGGCGGGTAAGCGAAAACATGCTACTGCTGACGCCTCTTCTTACACCCACGTTTTCCATCTTCCATCCTAACCCGCCCAAATTTGAATACTTTCTCCGCAGGTCCCAGCTCTGGGACTGGCCGTTTTGCTCGCCCTGCATCACACTCAGCTGCAGCTACTGCACGTCCGAGTTCGGTTACAACCCTGAACACTTTGAAGTCTATTTTCAAACCCCGAAAGCCTGTCTACCTAACCACCTTCAATGTTCGCACACTGAAGCAAGCAGGTCAATAGGTGGCTCTTGCGCGTACGGTGGATTCCTGTAGTGATATATGTTGTCTGCCAGAAACAGGGATGCAGGACGCAAGTACTGTGATCGAACTGACTGCCCCGTCGCTCTCTTCCAGGTTCCGACAGTGCGCCTCTGGTGATAAAGAGGCCGCTGCAGCTGGACATGCTGACGTGGGTATAGTATTAAGCGACAGCGGAAGCGTCTCTGCTTGATTGGATACCCATTGTATGTCGTCTCTGTGTGGTTCGTTTGGCAACATCTGTGAGTATCTAGAGAAAGTGCGGTACATCGCACCTCGTTTGTTGTGTCTGCCTACGCCTCAGTTGACTGTAGCTCTGAATCTGCCAAGGACAGTTTCTATGACGCTCTAGGTGCCCTTCTACAACAGGCTAAAAGTTCGGATGTGGTTGCTTGTGACGTGAACGCACAGATAGGTAGACTGAGCGCTGCTGAGGCCCGATTGGTTGATCGTCTTGGATTGGACACGAGACGCATGAACAACGCGGATCGCCTGTGCCGATCACAGACTTCGTTTGCAGTACGAATTTCCAGAACGGAATTTGTTAAACAACTTATTGCTCACCAGAAAACAACCACGAATTCAAATAGAACATCGCCGTCAGTTAGCACTGCTGAGGAGGGATCACTACTTACTGCTCCTTCTGGTACATCAGCGTGGACTCCGACCATGCACCTGTACGCTGCTGTTGCTTCTCATTGCGCTTTTCAGGTGCGCGCAAAACGCGCACATCTCGCCTAGCGACTGAGAAGTTAGTGGATCCAGAAGTCAAACGAAATTATCAGAACCAGCTCGAACACCTGGCGGGTGGTACGATGTCGAATATGAACGGCCATTGGGAAGAATATCGAAAGCGCTATTCAAAGGCGGAATGTGTGCTTGCGGTACAAGCCAGTCAACCTCATCCTGATGAGATCGTTTCTTTGCCAAAGACCCGGAGATCGATCCCTCCTGGCCGCAATCACAAGTCCACCCGAAGCCAGGTGAATCTGAGTGTCCGTGTAGACCGACAGGCTGAAGAAAAAGGTGCAAAGAATGCTGGAAACGTCCGCAAGCTGTTCCACGTTGTTCGTTCCACTGGAAACCTCTTGCCAGCCAATTAATCACGGGCCAAAATGGCTCCCTGAAATGCAGCAAACGTTTGGACTGCTGGACACAGTACTTCGAGCAGCAATCCAGCGGGCCGCCTGCTCCCTCCAATACAGAACCCTGGCCTTTGACAGTAAGGTGGGCCGTGAGTACGTTGCCACACTCAGCCTCTGAAGTGTCCGAGTGTATTTACCTACTCGAGCGTCACCGTGCTGCTGGTTCTAACGACCCTTTCAAGGATGGTGGTGGGCTCTTCAGCCAGTGCCTTTGTAGCCTATTTGGGTCTATCTGGGAGAAACAGGCCGTCCCAGACAACTGAGGTGAATAGATCGAAATCGTCCAGCTGTAGCACCCTTTTGGTGCCTAGCCGCCATGCCCCACGAAGGAAGCACGAGGGTGGGATACCGTCAGGTTGCTCAAGCCTTGACGGGAAGTCGAGAGGTAGAGGTCGGGTTCGAACCACGGACCTTCCGGTCAGTAAATCCGCGCTTAACCACAGGCATCTTGCTCCCAACCTCGTCCATCGCGGAATTAAATTAGAATCTAGAGAGTGGGTATTCATGTCGGACACCACATTGTGTGCGGAAATTTTTGAAGACCACTTCGTGTATTTCCATGCACTCGGGAGCCTGAGACTTCGAAGAACTTATCCACAAAGTTCCACGACATCCCGTGCTGAACAGTCATGATACGGAGAGCAGATTAGTTAACTGATTCGAACGTGACCTGAAAATAAGGGAATACTAAATTGCGAATCGCTCACACGTATGACCCTGCTCTGGCATTTAAGAGGGTGTGAAGGTTTGATAACCCCAAACGGGCCGAACTCCTGCTTGCTGGTCTTGAGCTAGTGTTTCACGAGCCAACATAAGGAGACGAAGGAAAAGTGATGTCAGGAGTTTCGTTACGTCTGGGGTCAAGCTGACTCTCGTGATCACCGCACCCACCACGGCCCCCTTTTTCGTTTCCTTAGATACAGACAAGCAAATTGTTGCTGAGAGCCCTGTCGGTCTGAGGTACGCGGATGACATTGCCCTCATCCTTGAAGACCAAAGAGAATCACAAGCCCTGTTGAATAGACCGACCATCATCTTACCATCTTTTGGCATGCGCCTGCACCTTCAAATTGCAAAGTCGTGCTTCAGAACGTGTCACCTGCGAACATATCCCTTACAGCTCAAGGATCATCGCTGGATGTTGTGGAAAATTCTACTACCTGCATTAGCTGTGAGGGGAAGGTGTCCGGTGAAGTCAGTGCGAGAATCTCAAAGGCTCGAATCACGTTTGCGAATTTGCGTCACTTGTGGCGTCAAAAAAGCATGTCATCAAATCTTGAGGGCCGCGTGTGCCAGACTACATTAAGGGCTATTTTATTTATTTATTTTTTTGGTGAGAGACGTGGCCTGGGCGGACAGATGGTGTGAGGCGTCTTCAGATTTTCGACCTCGAAGCCTGGCTGGTTTTGGATGGCTTCAGTGTGTTAGTAACAAGATAATTGGAAAACGGGTATTTGGTTGTGCAACAAATACTTCAATCGGGGAAAACATCCAGCATCATCGTCTACGATGGCTCGGTCATGTGCTTCGTACACCGAAACACCGTCTGCCGAGACGATTGTTCTCCGTGCCTCCAGAATGGCGCATACCGTGAGATGGACAGCGCATGACTTGGCAGAAAAGTGTGAAAGAGATCGCGAAGAGTTTAGGTATTGTTGATGTACGCCATCCAGGATGGGGTCTCCGTGACCCCGCCCGTGCTTGGCTGGGGACGTTGCAAGAAGTGGCGGCTAATCGATTTCAGTGGCGTTCGTGCTGTCAGTTTCCGGATTGCCTGATTGAGCGTTCGAAAGTGTGGGCACCTCAGAACGCTTGGCGTAAGTCATCCTTCTTCACTCTAGGG